ATGCAGAGATCAGAGGACACCCTCAAGTGCAGGGCCTCGCCTTCCACCTTGTTTGAGATGGGCCTCCTTGCCGTTTGCCACTGGGCATGATGGGTTAGCTCCTTCCAGGCATTCGCCTGCCTCTACCTCCCATCTCTCTATAGGAGCATTGGGACGACAGGCACGAGCCACTATGTCCAACTTTGTGTGGGCTCGGGGGTCCAAAACTAGGTCGTCATATCTGTGCAACCAACCCACTGAGCCATCTCTGCAACCTGGGTTGGTTCAAATCCTGGTAGGTCTAGATGGATAAGAGAGGTGAGAAACCTGGCTAGCATTTGATCAAGAAGAGGATCTTTGTCCACAGAAATCAATAAATTAGCAACCCTAATAATCCCAGTTTGGGGATCTATACTATAGAAATAAAACCCATTCACTCAATGATGCTGTGGGCAATAGTGATTACAGAGGCAAAATCTCGTATTTGAGTATTCATCATCAACAGTACAGTGGGTACTCTCCAATGTAGCTATACAGTGGGGTAGAAGGTAAAGATTTTTTAAAAAAACCTGTATTATTGGGTTTGGAGCCAAGACATATGGCCATTATATGTTATTAAAGGAAAAAAAATTACAGAGTATCAGCTTTAAAAATGGAAAAGAAGATCTATGCTATCTATCTTTTTAGAATCTCATATTGCTGACACGCGACAGAAAACATATGCTATGTTAGCGAGACAGGAACACAGAGAAAAGGGGATTGGTAGGCTCTCACCCACCGCGCTGTCTTGTTCCGTTTGCTACCACGAGTGTGCAATGCTTTTAAATTTAAGCATTTCATAAATCAAAGCACAAGAGTGCTGTTTTTCCGATTTTGTGAAGTGGGGAGCATCCTTAACTCATCCTCCAGGGTGATACAATGCCTATGTTCCGGTAACTAGAATAAACCCCTCATGCGGTGATTCTCAACCTGTGGGGTGCCACCATGGGAAAACACATATTTCCCATAGTCCTAGGAGCTGAGACACTGCTCGGTAGCAAAATGACAGTTATGGAGTAGCAAGAAAAATACATTTATGGTTGGGGCTTCCTAAGGCCATCAGAAATACGTGTTTTCTGATGGTCGCGACCCACAGGTTGAGAACTGCTGGAAGGGAATCTGTGGGAATTCACGTTTTACCTCAGCTCCACTGTTGCGGTTGGCCATTTCCAGCTGAGCAGCCCTTGCTCTTCTGTTGTGATGGCTCACTCCCCTCCGCTCATTCCCACTCACTGAGAGGCTTTATTTTACCCTCTTATGATCTCCCAAAGGAAACAAAGCCAGGCTCTCGGTTCTGAACCCTCCACGTGAGGTGCGATACTCCACCAGAGCGGCCTACTTGCTTTTCACTGACAGGAGTGGACATCACAAAAAATGAGCCCCGAGAACACTCCAGCTTTAATGAAAAGATTCGGCAGGAAGATCCTTTACTTTTGAGGTCCTGCTAAAAGTGTCTTCTTAGTTTACCTACCACAATGTACAAGTAAGAAAAATCCTCTTGCAATAACGTTAGGTCCTCCTTCACTGGCTCTACTCAGCTAGAGAGCTCGTCTGTATTCTCCCAGAAAGTCCTATGAAAGAGAGAAGGGCTCAAAGGATTTCCATACCTCAGCGATTCTCACCCTTCCTCATGCTGCGACCCTTTAATACAGTTCCTCATGATGTGGTGACCCCCAACCATTCAATTATTTTCCTTGCTACTTCGTAACTATAATGTTACTACTGTTAGGAATCGTAACATAAATACCTGTGGTTTCTGATGGTCTTAGGTGACCTCTGTGAGAGGGTTGTTTGACACACCCCATCCCCCACCTCACCCCCCCCCCCACCTCACGACTCACAGATTGAGAAAACCCAGCTATACCCTAAGAGACTGCTGAAGAAAAGTTGAACAGATACAATGTAAGTCAACAGTGGCCCTGTTCACTGATGAATCTGATGAAGTAAATGACACTTTAGAACAGGATGTGGAAGTGAGGTCAAATGCCCAGGCCTCCTCACCTCTAACCAGGAGACTATAAATGGCTGGATTAAAAACTGAGCAGGTGGTTTGGCACTAAGGTTGGAATCATTGACTTTGGAGCCAGTACATAGGGAGTAGAATTGTAGTTGGCTAGCTGGGTTTGGGAACTTGGTAATTAAAGTGAAGAGAAAAAGGCAGTCAAGGGATGGACATTCTTTGGAATTGTGCACAATTTTGAGCATGTGGGTTGGAATCAAAATAATTAGCCATTTTGTAGTCATAGCCCTGAAAGAAACATCCATACAAATATCTATCCACCCATCTGTGTCTCCATTCATCCACTCATTCATTCATTTAGAAAGTGTAGAAAGACCATTATTGTCTGGGCAAGGCTGCGAGGCTGTGTTGTGAACCCAAGGCAGTTTGGTGGACTCAGGAGACCCGTGTCCACTGAAGGCAATTATAATGTGAAGATGGAGAACTGTGGGGCAGAAGAAGTCCAGGGCTCACATATGAGATCATGGGAACTGAACTTCTACCTGTCTCTTCCTTTGAGTGTTGGGACACTCAAGCTCTGTTCCCTCATGCACTTAGCTACAACACGTTTTGAGGAATAAAAATGTAGTTCATTACTTATTTTTGCCTCCTCATCTCTGAAGCAGATTTTTATTTTCTGCTTTGAATTCAACTGTCTGGATGCTAGACTAGAAAAGAAAACATGAACCTGAAAATTATCTTTATAATACTCTCAGCTCCCAGAATGGTGTTCAGAAAAATGCGCAGAGGCAGTTTGGGGGATTTAAAAGGTGCATATTTCTTCTCAAGAGCTGAAAGAATCTTGGGCACCACAGTGTCACCCTGAAGGAAAGCACTAGGTTCAGATCAACTTACTCAGCTTGCCTGCCAGTCTCTGGCTTCTAGGGGTGACAGCATCACAGACTAAAGAACATTGCTGTCGAGTCAGATTTTGAAAGAAAAATATTAGCGCAAAGAGCTACTGTGTGAGTAATGATGCCAAGCAAGGGGTCCTGCGGTGTGAATGCTAAATTTTCCTTCTCCTGTTTTGAGGAAGCCAGCTTCAGCCGAGTTGAGAGAGCCAGCTAGAGGGAGGGGAACGTTTTAAGAGAAAAACGCGCCGGGCGGTGGTGGCGCACGCCTTTAATCCCAGCACTCGGGAGGCAGAGGCAGGCGGATCTCTGTGAGTTCGAGGCCAGCCTGGGCTACCAAGTGAGCTCCAGGAAAGGCGCAAAGCTATGCAGAGAAACCCTGTCTCGAAAAACCTAAAAAAAAAAAAAAAAAGAGAAAAACGCAGCCACAAAGGTAAATTTCAATAAACGAAATTTTAAAAATACACTTATGCCAAGGGTGATGTCTTTCAAAAGTGAGCGGGAATTTGTAACAAGGGAGGGAACGAGAGGAGCCAGAAAACAGGACAAAACAGAGAACTGAAACCGGGAAGTCTATTTTAGGCAGGACTAGTCTGTCTGCAAGTTTGGGAGTTTCTCCAAGGCCATTGAGGAAAGGGGAGCTGGGTGGGGGGTGGGGTGGGGCTGGGTGCAGAGACTAGTTCTGATGGAGACTCCCCCTCATGTTGTCTGTTGTTATTAGGATGATTTTCAATGCATCTGGGGATTGTGTTCCAAAGATGTATCTGCAAATGGGCTGTGTGGAACTCAGCTGCCTTTGCTCCATCAAATGCATTCGTTCACAGAGAGAATGTTCTAAGTGTCCTTTTGCCTGCCTACCACACAGCCACTTAAAGGCTGTAACTGGTTAAACATCATGTTTGCGACTGATAGTATCAGGAAGCTCTTCATGGGATGCAAACAATTAGACCCCCAAATGCAATATAGTTGACTAGATGCCCATGCCTGTAGAAAAACAGGCTTAGCTGGATGAGCAAGTCTTCTATGGCTTCTAAGAAAACCTCAGTGGCCACCAAATCACCAGAGTTGGGGGTGATGTGCAGGGTTTGGAGTCAGAATGGTAATCTGGGTTGACATCTTCATTCTGTAGACTGCTTGCTAGTCGTGGGTAGGCTGGTTAACCTCAGTAAAAGTCACCTGGGAGTGATGGTAGCATCTCCCTTGAGCTTGGCTATGGAGAACGAAACTTTTACACAGTAGTTAACAGACTATATGTTATAGTATTAGCGCAATACATACATATTAATATATTATTGCTATTATAATTACTTCTTGTATATGGCTCTCTATGTGTTGCTCTTTATTCCCAAGAAGCTAATGACCTTGAGGGCAGCGATTTTTGTCTCATTTTGATGATTTTGACTGGATTAAGCACAGACACTGTATTTCTCCATTTGTTGATGTTGGTTGCTTTGTGCAAGGGCAGTGGAACTAAAAATCTCAACTCTGAAAGCTGCACAGAAAACAATGTTTTCTTCCCTGGAACAAGAATGTAGCGAGAACTTCATCCCTGTTGTTTTTCCGTGGTTTTTTTTCTGTTTGTTTGTTTGTTTCGAGACAGGGTTTCTCTGTAAAGCCCTGGTTGTCCTGGAACTCACTCTGTAGACCAGGCTGGCCTCGAACTCACAGAGATTTGCCTGGCTCTGCCTCCTGAGTGTCAGGATCAAAGGTGTGCGCCACCACCGCCCGCCCAGTATGAGCACGCACAACTTGGTGAGTTCACCATGATTGGGTACCTGCTTTGATTTCACATAGTTGAAAGGGAAGAAAAAAGGGGGAGAGAAAGAGGAGCAGAGACAATGCCCCCAAGATTCTTAGACAAACGTTGAAGCTAAAAGAAAAACTGAGAAAGTAACAACAACAACAACAACAAAAGCCTATGTCAGTGTGAGGGGTGGGGGTTGGGCTGGCCGAAGAACAGAGCAAGGATGTTGAATGCAAAGTCCTGGCCAGGAAAGGAAACTGGGGGTGGGTTTAAGTCACAATACTGTTGGTGCCTCAAGCCAACAGCAGGTGGTGTCTCATCAACTCAGAGCAGCTTGTGTGGAGTTTGGCACAAGGCAGGGAGCCTCTAGCAGGGAAGATGGATAGAGTCCCCAGGTCTGAGATGGGACATTTGGGAATCTCTACGTAAGGGAGTGCCCTGCACAGGCATGAAGCCTAAGAGGGAGAATCTGGGGCGCTCAGGCCAGACCACTGTTCTCTCCTCTTCTGTGTCCACGGAATCTGCTGGTCCCATCACTTCTAATGATTTCCTGCTAAATAGTCTCTGTAAGACTTGCAAGTGAGAGAATTAAGAAGTATCCAGCTTTGTTATGAACTTGAGTTTGTTTTGTTTTGTTCTTTGTTTTTTTTTCCTCTTGGTCCTTTTTTTCCTCCATCCTTTTTCTTGTCAATGGCTTTCTTCTCTTTGTGAAAATGTGGAATGCCCATAGGTACCTTCAAGATCACTTCTGTCTTCTGTTCGTTTTAGTCATTCATTCCTTCACTTACTTATCTTTGAGACTGGTCTCATGTACCCCAACACTGGCCTTGAACTCCCCATGTAGCTGAAGATAGCCTTGAACTTCTGGATCTCCTGCTTCAACCTCCCAAGTCCTGGGATTACAGGTGTCATCCTGGGATTACAGGTGAGGTACATCCTCAACCCCAGTTTCCCCTGACTAATTTTTAAAAGGTCTTGTATTAAAAGTAAGTGTGTGTGTGTGTGTGTGTGTGTGTGTGTGTGTGTGTGTGTGTGTATGAACTTAACTCTCAGAGACAAGTGGATAAACATAAACTGTTTAAAATTTTTGATATTTGTTTTAGGCTTTTTCCTATGTCAGCATAATATTTGCTTTGAAAAATGAGATTGCTCTGAAGGAACTTTTGTGGCGTGTTTTGTTTTTTTTTTTCACTTACTAAATACCACATATTTCCAGGTTAATAATAAACTTGAACATCATTCTTCTGCCACAGTTGCCTAGCACTGCATCCTGTGAAGGGACTGACATGGAGGTAGCCTCCCTCACTGAGCTCTCAAATATGCATTATTTTCACTAGTAGAAAAGATATCCTAAGGAGCAGCCACATAGTTATGCAATCCATAGTCTTTTCTTGGAATATGCTTTTATAACAGGAACTGATGAGTGAGAGGGAAATCACATTTTAAAGAGGGTTTGCTTCAAATTTTAAAATTAGCTTCCTCACATGTTTCACCGGTTTCTTTCTTTCTTTCTTTCTTTCTTTCTTTCTTTCTTTCTTTCTTTCTTTCTTTCTTTCTTTCTTTCTTTCTTTCTTTCTTC